TTCTCATGTATCTCAGAGAATTTCAAGAGTTTTCACATCGTCGGACGATGTATTGAATTGAATGCCATCTTAAACCGAAGGAAACTGGCAAACCTAGGCAGCTGGAATAGTCGGCATTTCTCAGTGATCCTGGGGTTGAAATTTCGTTGGGGCAGAAGAAGTACCTTCATCCGGAGGCCTGCTTGATTTTTGCGAAGTCTCTCATCAACTGCTTGGTCCTCCTTTCTGGGATAAATCAGGCGAAGTTTCCTGACAGATGACATTTGTGTGATACTGCGATGATACGCACCGGGTCGCCCTACTCGTTTTAGTATAGGGACAGTTATTCCGCATTACTCTTTCCCAGTTAAACGTTTATAGGTCTGCTTTTCCTAAAATATGTCATAGAGCTTTTTAAAGCTGCCATTTCCGTTCCTACATTCTTAATTAATTCCGAAGTACAGTGAAGCCTGGAATTACGAGGTTTCCGAGATACGAACGGTCGCTAGGTCAATTTTTTGCTTTACATTACGAACAAAGATCTGAGTTACGAGTTAAGAGCTAATGTGCGAGCATACGCCACTCGCCATCAGCGAACTTTCAGTTCAAGTGGTTATCTTGTCATGCGATCATCTGTGGCGTATTGCTGTTGCTCTATTTTCATATTTTTTATTTTGGAAAATTTCTTAGTTTTAACCATGGTTCCTAAGAATGTGAGTGCGAAGATTAGTGCTGAGAAGAACAAAGCGACGATGTCCTTGGATATGAAGCACGAAATCATCGATAAACATGAGCAATGTATGCATGTAGTCGACTTTGCAAGGCAGTGCAAACGTAGTACTTCTACGATATGTACGATTTTGAAACAGGAGTCGATAAAAGCTATGAATTGTAACATTAGGTGTGTAGCGAGTTAGTTAAGTTAAGCGACAGAGCACGAAATGAAATACTTCCCCAACCTCCTCCACCAATCTCCACCATCGTCAACATCTTCGTCTGATCTTGAAGGTAAATATGCTTAATAAATTCAGTTTATTATTTTACGTTCTCTTTTATTATGTCTCATCATCATCTTCCATCGCCGCTTTTTCTTTCGGGTCGCGGAGGCAGACGCGTCAGACAGTGCTTTCAACGTTCCCGATCCTGTGCCAGAGTATGAGCTTCGGCAGAAGACAAATGCAGTCTGGAATAGACTCCTTCCATATCTTTGCACCAGGTTAATCTTGGCCGTCCCGAGCGCCTTTTGCCGGTCGGATTTGCAAGGAACAGTTGCTTAGCCTTCTTTTCTGGAGGCATTCGCAACACATG